GAATGTTTTTTGGGGGGGGGGGGAAATTAGTGTGGAAGTCAAACTATTAAACAGTTAAAACCTCTATTCCAATCAAAATCGATACAACAAGGAGCAGGGGATCTATTTTACTTTTAAATGGTATTGCTACATCAGTGACAGTTTCAGAGTTGTTTTTCTTAGCAATAAGTACACTGATTCAAGCTGATGCTGGGAAAAAATAAATTCTGAATTACATACTGGCTCTGCATTAATTTACGTAGACTTACATTTCTGAAAATAACCTATTGAAGATTTGCTGGAAAAACAATACTTTTTGCCAGCACTGAGTGCAGGTGATGGGTCTCTAGAGCAGGCTGCCTTGGAGCAAGAGCGTTGCATCCATATTCTTTCGTTACTGCCGGTTCTTGCCAGGGTACTAGTAAAACTTATGGGCTTTGCTTTGTTATTTCAGACTTTTTTTTCCCAGAAGAGTGTCACAATATCTACCTTGGGGGGAAAAAAACTTGTCTTTCACCGTTTGAAGTCTTTCAGCTTTTTAAGCTGTTCCTACAACGAGTTTTAATTGCACACAAGGCATTGGAATCCCACTTCAGAATGGGGGCACAGCTGTATAAATGTCGTCAGAGCAGCATGGCATGTCTCTTTTCTATAAGTTAAAGAGTGTATTTTTCCTCTGTTCATCTACTCAAAATAGTACATAGCTGTACATCCAAGCTTTGGGCGCATGCACGATTTTGAACACTGGCTTATTGTATTAACCCAATTACTATGTCTGTCTCTGTCAATAGCAGGTCCAAAAAGAGATGAAGTATTTAATTTTCTTAGTTAAGAGCCTCTTATTTTCAAAAGCCTGAGAACATCTGAAAAAAATATAGGCTACCGCAGCACAGACTTTCCTAAACGGGTTTTAGCTGTTTCCTAGCAAAATTAAGATGAACATGAAAAGTTTGATGTTTTCTGTCTTAAAAGTAAACAATTAAAAAAAAAAAAAAAGGTAAGAATAAAACCCTTTCATGCTTTGTCTTGGAATATCTGTAAATGAACATAAAACTCGTCCAAAACATTGGAGTGGACACTCAATGCTGTGATATGAAAGCACCTCTTCCAGACTTCTGGTTGCCAGATAGTTGTTCTACAGTGGGTCAGGTGGTGTGACAGTTGGGAGGGGTGTGGATAGCCTGGAACGGCTGTACCTAGCAGCCTCTCTGTATTTCCTTGTCCGAGTGTCAAAGTGTCCCTGTATTAGAAGGGAAGGGTAATCTTTTATTTTTGCAAATCTCCTGCTTATTCCCCAGGGTGCACCTCTGACAGGCTTGCGCAACAGACTTTCGAAGCCTGCTTCCTAGTACTCACAAGGATCTGAAGAACTTACATGTAAACGTTTTGCTAGTGCTGTTAATTCTGTGAAGTCTGCCAAGATACCTGACAATTACTGCATGTCTGTTTAAAGGCAGCAGTTGTAATAAGTTTTCTTTAAACAGCATAATAGAGAAGTTGGTTTGTTGGGGAGGTGCTATAGCAGGTGCTGTGACATGGTGTTTATTGTTGAATATCGATCTTAACTGAAGAGACAGATGTGGAGGTTGCCACTACTGTAGAATTTAGGAGCTATTTTAGTACTCGCCACTTTCATTAACTTCTGTGGGTATTTCTTTTCTTCCCGAAGGTTTGGAGAAGCAGTTAATAGAAATTTAGTGGTTGGTACACTGGCTTGGCCTTCTCCATGGGTTATTGTAATTGGATCATTCTTCTCTACATGTGGTGCTGGTCTTCAGAGCCTCACTGGTGCACCCCGGCTCTTGCAGGCCATTGCAAGAGATGGCATCGTACCGTTTATTCAAGTGAGCTATTTTTTTTTTCTTTCCAGTAAATCAAATATGTTTTACACTTTAACAAAAATGAAACATTATTTCTGCTGTCCCTGTAGAACTGTGAGAAGATGATTTGGAGCTCTGTTCTAATGTGTACAAAATGGATCCAAGTATTACAGGGCAAAGTTTGAACTTGTGTATTTCTTT